TGAGGCGGGATGCTAGCGAATCCGGCATTGTTTTGCAAGCGCGTTTGGATGAGGACGAATTTGCTCAATGGAATTGGTCGAGGATTCTTGTGCGTGACTGCATTCGCGATGCGTGTGCATATTGTTTGGCATTAGTCACATTTGGTGCGTTTGTTGAAAAGGAAATTTGACAGCGTCGTTTTTTGCCGGTTTGTGGTAATGGAAAATATACTCATGCGCAGATCTCGGTAATTCGAAGCTTAAAGGAAAAATTGAAGAAGTTAGGTTATGGAGGTTAAGTTATATGGATTGAGACAAGAGTTTTTCTTGTAGAGGTGTACTTCGATTCTAAAATTGTAGTTAGGAAAAATAAATTTTTTCTCGAGATAGTAAAAGTAGATAAAACAGTTTTAAAAAAAATATTAGAGACGAATTACGGAGATGGATGATTGTTTCTTCTCTTGATTGTCGGATTGTCGAAATCAGCGAGAACAAAATATCAGGAGGAGGGAGGTTCGTCGATTTACTTGGTCAAACGAAGAGGCGTGGTCCATCAATATAAAATGGTTAAATTAATCTCGTGCACGCGACATATCCGTTGTGATCGGACACATTGGCGTAGCCTTTTGATGAATATTATGGAATTTTGTTTGAAAAATGTTTAAATTAAGGCAAAAAAGTATTTTCAAGATTCCTTTGATTCTCCTTACTTTTGAAACGATGAAAAAGAAAATTATTGATATCAATGTGAATTTTGTAATAGCCATATATTGCGGGAAATATGTAAGAAATGAATTCTATCCAAATTGAATGGTTTATCCAAATTTTGAAGTATACATTTTTGAAGATATATAAAATGTAATATACGAAATTAAATATTATTATAATTTTGACCAAAATTTTAAAAATTTTGCTTTGGTTTTTATGTAAAGTGCAAATGGAAACTTGTTATTCTATCCTTTCATTCCACCCTCGTCTCTCTGTGATGACGAAAACGGTTAATTAACCATCAAGGTTGAATCACACGATGGACGAAAGAAAGAATTTATCGTTGTACCGATGTTGTTTTGGTTGTTATCGCGATCCTATTATTGGAAGTTGACGTAGAATAATCGTTGAATCATAAGAAAATATTTTAATTTAAATTTGAAATTCCTTTTTTTTTTTTTTTGTCGAACTTCATTTTTTTCAAATTTAGGTGATGACACAGAATGAATTCCATAAAATGAGAAGATGAGAACTCGTTACTTAAATTTCGAAATTTAAATTAATTTCAAGTTTTTTTAATTTTAAAAATTTTTTAAAAATGATTCAGACATCATAAATTATGAAATTGATATTGAAGCTATAAATAATTGATCCAATTGCTATTCTTTCATCCTGTTAGATAAAAGACACTTGATATTGCTAATTTAGTCTAATCAAACACACAGAAACATTTAATCAATTAAGCTACAAGTCAATAAGCAAATCTCTGACTAAGATTATAGGTCATTAAACAAACTTAAAAGTCAATAAATGTATACAATTCTATTTAAATTAATTTAACCTATCTCGATGACAAAGAAACATTTTAAATGTTTAATGTACTTTGCACAATACACATGTATATCTATAATTTAATTTAATTATTAAATTAATTGTACGTATGAGTTAAAGTACAATTTTTCTTCTTATCTCCATGATAACAAGAAAATATGATATATAATTTAGACGTAGAAATATACAATTGTGTTGCTCATCCAATGAATTCCATTGTGCTTTCTGTTGTAATTTATTTATCCTAATTCAATTTATCCCATCAATTTTTCCAAAGAAAGAGGATTTGTAATTTATATTTCACAATATTAACTTTTTAATTTTTCCTTTCTTCGATAAACATTGCGAATAATATCTGAATTGTCATAAAACTATAAAAACTTAAAAAGAAACATATCAACAACTTATATTTTATCAAATCGCTAACACGATTAGTTGTTTAACTCTGTGCAAGAGGACACTAGTGTGATCAAGTAAATGCAACTTTGGACACAATTGCAAGTACGAAAAAAAGAAAGAAAGAAGCACAACGATACAATATAAAGCTGTATTCACATCGATTTTAATCGATTTTAATTTTAAGCCATTTTATATTTTGAACAATTAATCGATAGTTATTTAATGTAAACGCGGCTTAATACAATATCTAAGAAATCGAAATAAAAAAAATTTGCTTTCTCTTTACATAATCCTTAATTTCTATTTCTGGCAAAATAATAAAATGATAAAACGTTTACACACTTTTTCTTCCACATGTTCCTACGATAGCGTTTCCAGTCGATTTTCATGAGAATGGGGGCAGCACAATAGTCGCAGCACGGCGAGGAATTCCCATTGACGAGGAAGATTGACGCGAGAAATTCCATCTTCGATACCCGATCTTTCTTTCGGTCACAGTTGGTGAAGCGGAAAACGTAGCACGTTTACGGCCAGTTTAACGCCAAGATGCGCGTATTACGATCGAGCTGGTAGCAAATCGATTCGTTTTCGAACGGTCGAACGGTTGCGCCAACCCGGTGCACGTATACGGACGATAACGGTTTAATGAAAACGACGGCTATTTTTATGGCGACGAGAGCCGATTCCGCGCGATAAACGCGTGTGAATATCGAACGCGAATACGAGCTGGAATCGGTTTACCAGTCTATAAAGTTCGTTGCTCTCGGAAACGATAGGTATTCAGACCGAATTGTTTCTGTGCCAGCTTTTCGTCTTCTTTGTTCGTCGTTGATTGTGTTTACTCTTCTTTGTACGATTTCGAGGTGCGCGTGAAATCGAGATTATTTTCGTAATCGATGACTTTATTGTACGACGGATCGATATTTTTTGTTGAATATGCATTTTATCGACAAAAGAACTCGCGAGATTGTCGATTTTTATTTTTCAACGGATTTTATTGATATTGAGTCTGGATCGAATTCAATCTTCAACTTTTTTGTAATTTTTTGAATTATTCTTAAACTAGTTGTGCAATATAATTTTTCTATTTTGTTGTTTGTTTCGATCCGTCGTTTATGAAAGAGTTAATTTATCGAACGAAATAAATAAATGAAAAATATAACAGTAAAAGTAATCCACGCTTTTTTTTTTTGTCGAGTGAATTTAAAAGCGAAAGCGACACACTTGATGCGAGAAATAAAATACGTACGAACAAGTCCATGTCCTTGATCGATCATTTAGAAAAAGCGTGGTTCAGAGAGTGGAAAGGGCCTTGATAAATGCAAACATTGCGCGTTTAAAAATGAAATAAAAGAGAGGACAAAATTTCTATTCGATTTTACATTATTCGATACATCTCTACGAGATGGATGATTTTTATTATCAGAATAACGAATCAAAAATTAAAAGATTTAAAATTAAAATGCTTCAAGTTTATTTTATAACATACACTGAAAAATATTAATATAGTGACATCTGTAAAATTTCAATGAAATTGAAAATTGAACGGTAAAAAACGGTAGATATTAATATATTTATGAAACACCCTTATAGAATTAATTTTTAAAAACCAAAAAAATCACAAAAGAGATATCATACAAAATATCGATTGAGCTTTATTTATTATAACCTATAAATAATTGAAATTTGCGTTAGATAAAGCGAGATGAAGATAGAGTGCCACGGTTGTATGACGTTTAGTATAAGTAAAGCTATCTCATTTTATCTCATAGATTACAATTTCTATAAAATAAGCCACTTTGAATCTCTTCAAATTGTCAACGTCCTTTCAATTTTTTCGAATCATCGATCTGCGATGAAAGATAAAAAAAAAAAAAAATCGAGAAATAAAAAATGAAACAAGAGATCCTAATTTTTTTTATAGATCGAGGCCGAAGAAAAGATCTCTTCGATCGAGACGAAAAATTACCTATGCCTCTTTGCTATTAACTCGAACAAATGTTACGTAATGATTCAAAGGTTTACGTGTAGGTGGGAGAAAGGAAGTCGTTCCATTTATCCGTGTCACTTTTACTAATATATCTAAAGTGAGAATAATTTCCAGGGATGCCCAGGGCCATGTATCGCCTCGTTTCGACACGAGTTATGAAATCTTTTATCCACGGATAAATATTCCCTCGTGTAATTACACGTGTACGAAATACGTATTGACATTCGTTGGGAATTAAGATTGATGTCGATCTTGAATTCTAAAGGTTTATTAATCTTGGCTTATCAAGAAACGTATATTTATGTTCATAAGATAAAGAATAGATATTTCAAAAAATAAATTTTTGAAAGATAGCGAATAATTTAGATTTATTGATTATATAAAATCGATTAATAAATATCGACTTATTTTTGTTAATTTACTCGTATTTCAAATATAACGAGTGTCCCGTAATTTATGAATGTGCAGGTAGAAGGCAATTTAACTGAAAACGAAATTAAAAATTTAATATTGTTATTCAAAATTTTTTTCTCTAAATGGAATAGTAATACAATATTTTAAAGATTCAATTTATTCAAAATAGGAAAATGAAAAAATTAAGATCATGCGCGATACGTCATTCACGATAAAGATATTCACATTCTTACAAAAGATTCTTATGAAATGAAGATAACGCTACCGTGACGAATATTTTAATTGATAAACATGTGTCAATCTTTTATCACGTGTAATGTTATCTCCTACCAAACGTCATTCAATACACCGATAATGTATCGATAAATTTAGCATCAATAACATGAGAAATTGTGTGAATCATTATATTTTGCGTCTGATAAAATTGATAATTATGATTTATACTTTTTTTACGTTTCTATAAAAATATCGAGATTAAAAATATTTTCATTTTATTGAAAATACTCAATACTTAAGATCTTAGTAATTTATTAATTTATAATTGTTAATGAAGAAAAGAAATTAAAATTAACAAAAAATTAACAGAAAATTATCTTTTTACTACTATCGATTTCACCAATTTAATTTTTTGTTAATGTATTTTTTTTTAATACCATAATTCAAGGCATAATCGTAAAATCCCACAAGATGCTATTCTTATATACTATTCTTATATACTCGTCCTGTAATATAACGAATCGGTCGATGAGAATGCACAATGCATTTCTCATGTACCGACCGAGTCGATCGAGGAAACAATTCATAGGAAGCAACAGGTGGAGGAGTAAAAGGCGAAATAAGCTCACGAGAAGGCGCCACTGGTCAATGGCGATATCTCGAGGAGGCGCTAATTCGCTCGTTCGTGGGCATAGTTCGAAGCTCGTCGTCCGACCGCTTGTGCGGCTTTAACTTTTTAAAATGTCGCCGATGGCCGTGACAGGGTCTATTTTTAGCCACAACGAGATAAGCGTGGCGGGGAGAACTGTTGAGGAGAGACCTGGAGCGAGACGGAAAAGAGGGAATTCCCTAGGCGAGAAAAAGACGAATAGAAACAGCTCAGAGTGGGACATACAGTAGCGTAACCGGATGGCATTTTAGTAGGCACTTGGAAAAACACCTGTTTAATTAACTCTCTGCCTGCACAATGATCGATGGAATTGGATGAACATGCGTAACGATTCAACAGTTTCTCTCTATACATATAATGATTACGTTGTTCCCCCATTAACGTGGTAAATTTATTCTCTTTCTAGGGAAAATTGATGTTTTCAACGATCGCCTTTTTAAAACCGAATTAAACGTATCTTTTACAGATATCGATGATACGAGCAGTGACGGATAATATATGAAAACGTTGAGCGATTAAATACCGAAGAAATGTTTTTACTAGTTGACACTAGGGAATTCCCGACAACAAGCAATTTGTCCCTAGATGAAATATCTATAGGGCATGTACTATATCTTCGGAAAGATAAAAGGCTTTCCACACGTGAATTACTATGCGATTTCGATTCTCCTGGATACAAACTACTTTTTTCATTAAATATTCTTTCGTTACAATGTATATTAAATAATCGACACACTGCTTCGATCGTGCAATTTTCATTATCAAAATCTAAAACTATTAATCTTCCAGATTGATTCAATTACATCACTGGACAGGAACGACGAAGATTGTTGGAATAGAAATGAATAGTAGAGTCCGAGGGATTGGGAACGAGGAAAAGGGGCAAAAGGGGGAGGAAAGAGAAAGAGAGAGAGATAGAGAGAGAGAAAGAGAATCAAAGAACTAATTATACGTGACGTCACTCGACTGGTTTCAACACAGAGCCGAGTGCAACGAGTCTCGACTCGACGAGTCAAGTCACGGCAAGTGGGCCAAAGAAGTCTTTCCCTATCTCTCTCCCTCTCTCTTCCTTTTCTATCCCCGTTTCTTCTTTTTCTAAGCCGCGGAAGCTGCGTGTAGAAGAAGAGGAGGAGTATAAAGGAGATTTCTTCTCGCTTCATGATGATGAAGTAGGAGGAGGCAAAAATAGACTCCCAAACTTTATGGACGCTAAATCACTGGCACGTTAGGCCCGCTGCCATTCCCAACTCGTTCGAGCTGGACTGACCGACTCATTAACCATAATATAACGACAGCGACGAATAGGAAATTCAATGTAAGCTTAATTAACCATTAGGAAACACGCTACGTGGAAGTTTCGAGTTTATCTGCTGTTTTATATTTTTTATAATATCCTCTCTTTCTTTTTTCTTTTTCATGAAAGAAGAAGAAAAAATTCATGTGAGATATCGATGCTTCTTTTTTAATATACTATTTTACTTTGCATAAAGTTACTTTTATTAAGGGCAGAATTTATGACACCTCTATATATACAGTTTGAACGTCTGTACAACTTGTGACGATGGCGAAAAAAATTCCCTAAATGGAAACTTGCCGAAGGTTCAACCTGTTTACGATGGCTTTCACGAATTCATTGATGTACGATATATTTTCTTCTGTATCTGGATCAATGAATTACGGTGTTTCGGAATTATTTGGCAAAATCGTAGCTTTTAAAATAGAGCACATAATAACATGAGTAATATTTAGGACTTGATATATTTAATATAATTGGACAAAAAAATTGGACAAATATTTGGATATAAATTTTATTATTATATTGGATAAAATTTAAAATAAAGAATAAAATTCATATTAAGATAATTAGACAATAATTCTTGGAATCATTTTTCTTATGAAAAAAATTTTTACATTAAATAGTTTTTAACAACAATATCCTTGAAATAATGTTAATAAATTCAGTAGCTTGTTCATAACTGAGATATTTTAAAAGATAAATATAGAGTTTCTGACAGAGACAAATTGAAACACTAATAATTATTTATGTTCTCTAAATTTTGTTGAGTTTTTATATTTGTATAAAATTTTAATTCTAAAATTATGTTAATAACGTTAATTTATTTCACATAAATGATTAAGAAAAATTTTCTGAAAAGAAAATTTAAAATTTGTATAAATTTTCTTATAAAATTTTTCATAAATGGAAACTTTTATCTAATAGTCTTCTATAAGACGATAATAAGAAGCTAAAATATAATTCGAGATGCGATTATTCAAATTATTTTTATCCGTTAAAATTTTAGCATATCATTAACTTTGAAATCATAGTTTTTTATATCTTTAATTAAAAATGAATTGATGAGAAGTGTATAACCAGCAATTATGATTAATTACGACGATGAAGAAGAATTAATTAATATTCATAAAAAAAAAGAATTATACATAGATTGTTGAATATCAATTTTAACATATTTTTTTGTTTAGAATTTTTTTCGTGCTCGATCAAGGATTTTTTCATTTTCTTCTCTTTCTTTCTTTTTATTATTACAAAATTAAATTCTTCGAATAAGAAAATATTGATGAAAAGAAATAGATTTTTAATATTATTTTATATTACAAAGAAGTTTATTTACTGAACAAATAATATAAATTATATAAGTTTACTTGGACAGCAACAGAGAAATCTTTCAACTTAACTGCTCGCATCACAAAAAAAAATTTATATTTTTAGAACTTTATAAATCTATACCATATAAATCTACATAACAAAATTCAGCGGAGAATTCCTAAGCTGATATCACAAAAACGCTTATACGACAAAAAAAGATGTTATTTCTAAGTCTACATTATAAATCTGCTGCAGAACAGTATTTTAAAATACTAAATACTATAAATTAAAAATTCATATAAAAAGTTTTTAAAAAATAAATCTCTTTAATTAATATTTGAGTTTAATATTTTATATTTCTAAAGTTCCGATTTCTATATAAAAAAGAAATTTAAATATCAAAATTGAATGTTTTATTTTAAAAATTTCAATATTTTTGCAAAGAACATCTTTCCTTCACCTTTTAACACCCAGTTATTATGAATCTACATAAAAATCAAACAAAGAATCCTTCAACCATAATAATTACCAACCTACTTACATTGCAAACAACCTTGTATTTCTCCACGTATACCATTATTCGTAATTATTTGAACGTAAAAAATTTTTCAGCGAACCTGTTTCTCATTGATAACCTGTGAACATTTGTGCATTCGTGAAAAATTAAAAAAAAGAGAAAAATGCAAAAATATATAAAATATTCAATATATAATTAAAAAATTTTAAAAATCATTATTTAATTATGTTCATAAATATACAAATACGTTGCATTTTGATATATCAACTTTTAGAGAATCGATTTTATTAGAGATTAAAACAAATAAAAAAAATTGATATACAAAAATGTCGATTGAGGTTTATTTATTAACTTGTAAGGAATTGAAGTTTGCGTTAGATAAAGTGAGGCAGAGACAGAGAGAGACAGCTTTATCTTTGTTACACCAGAGCGCCACAGGGCGGCGCTCTATGTCATTCTATCTGTCTCACTTCATCTAACTTATTTTAACAAATTGTTTATAATTTAATAAATAAATTTCAATCGTTTTGTATATTAATTTTTATATTTATTTTGACTTTTGAAAATGATTCTTTGTGTTTTATGAATATATTAATACTTTATAAATAAAAAAAAATATTATATCGTTCATTTTACTCAGAAAAATTAATATTATTATAAATATTCTATAAATCGCAAATTACAATAACTCATAAGTATATAATTAAAAAATTTAATCATATACTTTAATTAATATTTTAATTATTGTTTTGATTAATTAAACTTTAGCATGTTTGAGCTTGAATTTAATTAATTAATTTAATAAATTTTAATTTGATTTATATTATATTAAAATTTGAATTTGAATCACAATCGAGTCGGATTTTAGTTTGTATTAAACTAAACTGATCTATATATAATTTTTAAATCAATATATTTTTTCCATCAAACACAATCAACAAAAAATCAAAAACCCTTAATTTAACCCTTAAAAACGATATTCATCATAGCAATATTACGTATATATAATCGTAATCGTGATCAATAACCACGTCGTAACTATTATACGACGTTTCACGAAATTCGTTTTACGAAAAAAAGAAAAAAGGAGAAAAACGAAAAACAATCGGACAAACGAATGTCCAATTTCCTAACGAAATTTCACAGGCCCAACTATCACGCCGTGTCGTCAGCAACCATGACGAACGCAGCTATTTTCAGGCCCACTTGCATTATCCAAAGGACGTCTCCACAGAGGCAGACGTGGATAATAGACTCTCATGATTCATGCGTACATCGCATCGTATCGGTGCGTACATACCACACGTTACGATAAATCGTGTTACGATAAATAATCTTGGGACCGAGCTACGTATATATATATATATACATACACGCGATAGTCCAATTATCACGGCTTAATCTCGCGCGTCACAGGGTCCCGATTATTTACAAGCGTCAATGGCGACGATTTCCATATATAAATTGGCGCGCCACTCCCGACGGAGGAGGAGAGGAGCCCGTGTTCGATTGAATAGAGGAAGCCACGCGGCGGCATACAAATCTTTTTGCACCTTGTTTGGATGTCTCACCTGGCGACGTGACGATATTCGAGCCTCCAGTAAATATTCCAAACGACATGTTGCCTCGCTTTCGACCAGATTTCCGTTCTTCGCGCATTACACGAGGGAAGGTGATTAGGGTTGGATTTATTATGGTAATCGAATCCACGAGTTATGGCGTGCGGTTTGACGAGGTGTTTAAAAGTAATTAATAATTTATGGGATAATTCCGGGAACGTCCGTGTTATTTTTAATCCTCCTGCTGTAGCCTTGAATGGTGAATTTTCGATAGAATCGTTTTTTTTTTTTTTCTACGTATTTGATCAATAAGTTAATTTATAATTGATATGAGTTTAAGTATTTTTAAGCATTTTTAAGTATCGATATTTTCGAGTTTGACGTTAGGTTTTGTAATATAAATAATATAATTCTTTATTAGCATAAACGATGTTACATCGAACTTATCGAACTACAATTAATTACGGGACAAGTTTTATTTCGCTTGCCCGCTTATTATTTGCTTTATAACGATCAATTATTGCCACGGTATAACACGTTCACCGCGGGTAATTCGTACGTGTTGCAAATATCGAGTGTTTCGAATATGTAACGCTCTTACTTAGCTGTATTATTAGAACAAGCATGACGCCGCGTATATTCCAAAGGTGCTCGTAAAACTCACGCCGTGAAAACGATTTTCTTCGTGTTACAGAATATGAATTGCAACAATTAACCTGTTACAGCCCTGCCACGATTCTTTGTGTCATTTTTGATCTAATCGTTCAAAAATATATTTTATATATATATAGCAATTGAATAGCAATTTTCCAAAAAAAAAGGAACGAATACGAACGAGCGGTTATAAAATTTTTAACAAATCGATAATAAATTTCAAATACAAATTTTGAAAACGATCCAATTATTATTTTTCCGACACAATTTATTATTAACGCGTGCGCAATCCTCTCTGTTCTTGACTCAACGAAAAATCGGATCGTTTTTGTTGAAAACAGTTTGCGGTCTCGTATTTCTCCGAAAACGCGTTTTAATGGAATCGAAGAAACGGCGAGACGGGAAAATAAATGCGAGCGAGGGAAAATAAATGAATCGAAGCGTTGTGGTAACTCGAGCAGCATGGTAACGCTTAATGTAACAGCGATAAAATGGTAGAAAACGTTTAAATATTAAAGTGTACATCGAGAAGATGATTTCGATAAATATAAATTTATCCTTAACCTTACCGCTTTATCTCTTCTCGAAATTATATTCGGATATTAATATTCGATCCTTAGATTGAATTTTAAATAAACCTTTTTTTAATCTTCTAAACTTTTTCGTCGTTTTGTAATCGCGCGAGCGATCTTATTATGCCGAGATATTTATAAAATATTCCGACCGTGCAACGTTTTCAACGTTGTTAAAAGTTCGAAAATATTTTAAGAATTCCAAATTGCAAACAAAACGTTTGAGAAATGAAATTCAAAAATAATAACGAAGC